AAGAATCACCCCCAAATGAGCAAGCATCTACTGTTTCATATGAACAGCTTGTGGGAAACGTAAAGAGTTCAAGCCACGAGAAGCCAAGTTAGCTCTGCAGAGCCAAGGGGATGCTAGCTTTTATTGCTGAATCAGGGTCTTTGGACACCAGCTGGATATTTCCCAGCCTATATTTTTCTCAGTAGTGGATGCCCAAGAAATAATTCAGCACTGTCTCAGCTGTGCAACAATATGTTTCTGAACTAAAAAATCACTATATAATTTTGTTTAAAGCCCAGTTTCTTGGTCTCTTGTACTTTGAAGCTCTCGTTGGGGGATAAAAAGGGAACTGCCCCTTGGATAATTTTGTTAGCCTGGATTGTTATAAAATGGAGATGAACCATCAAATAGAAGATAGGGGGAAGAGACCAAAAATAAAGACACCATTACCCAGCAGGAAGTCAGGGGAAAATGGACTGAGAAAGAAGGACGTGGCTGAGAAGGTTGTCATTTTGTGGTTTCAGATTCTTCTAGCTATAAGATGGAAATAAGCTCCAGGGCCTAGCATCTCAGAACAGCAGGTGAAATGCAGCTTAAAATGGGAAAAATTTAAAATGGCTTCTTCCTGTAAAGGAAGGACCAAACAGAAGATGCTCAGAATTGACAGAGGGGTGTGTGTGTAACACACAGGTCACCCCACGACCTGGGGCATTATGTAGGTATGGGAAAGAACAATCTATGTGTTGCTCTAACATAAAGCTAAATCACATATGAACTTGAATACCAGTAATTTTAACTTGTAGCTTAGACATATTGAGGTCACCCCACGACCTGGGGCATTATGTAGGTATGGGAAAGAACAATCTATGTGTTGCTCTAACGTAAAGCTAAATCACATATGAACTTGAATACCAGTAATTTTAACTTGTAGCTTAGACATATTGTTTATGGCTTACTCTAGCTTGCATATCTTATTATCAGAGCAGAAATTAGAGAGCGAACTAAATGTGCTATTAATTTAACAGTTACATTTACATGTTTACAGAAAATATACTGATCCAATCTTGCATTACACCTGCTTCTCCCTGACATCCATATCTGAGTTCCATCCACCTTCCGGGCCACTGAGCTTATACCAGCTCCACAGACAGGTTTAAGTGTAGCTTGATGGCGTTTAGGATTATTTGTTCTGTGACTGAGTGAAATGCATCCACAATAGAGAAACAAAAAACCTTGAAAACTGGAAAGTGTGTGTGTGTTTCTGTGTAAGTGTGTGTGTAGCTCATTTGACAGTAAAACCTGACCTGAACTGACATGAGGTCATTTAGATCCATTTTAAGTTACTCTTCATATGTTTTGCTATACAAATATCAACATATTTGATTTGGGGGAGCTGCCCTAGGCTCTGGCAGTGGCCCTAAGGTTTTCAGACAAGGAGTGTAGACCAATGCTGATATTCTCTAAAGTCTAGGAGACAGTTTTAGGAAGAAAGGTATTACAAATATTTGCAATTAAAATATTTTTGAAATATTTTGTTGAAAATAAAAAAATTTAAAGGTATTATATAAAAAAATAAATAATGGGCATAAATCTTTGTATCCAATTGATTCAAAATCTCCATTACCATCTTTGGTTTGATTTCTCTCTCTCTCTTTTTCTTTTTACGCTTTTACTATTCTAGGATGAATCCTCCATGTTCTTCCAGTTTGGCCCATCAATTGAACAGCAAGCTTCCGTAATGCTCAACATCATGGAAGAATATGACTGGTACATCTTTTCTATTGTCACCACCTACTTCCCTGGCTACCAGGACTTTGTAAACAAGATCCGCAGCACCATCGAGAATAGCTTCGTGGGCTGGGAGCTAGAGGAAGTCCTCCTGCTGGACATGTCCCTGGATGATGGAGATTCTAAGATCCAGAATCAGCTCAAGAAACTTCAAAGCCCCATCATTCTCCTTTATTGCACTAAGGAAGAAGCTACCTACATCTTCGAAGTGGCTAACTCAGTAGGGCTGACTGGCTACGGCTACACTTGGATTGTTCCCAGTCTGGTGGCAGGGGATACAGACACAGTCCCCTCGGAGTTCCCCACTGGGCTCATCTCAGTATCGTATGACGAATGGGACTATGGCCTCCCTGCCAGAGTGAGAGATGGAATTGCCATAATCACCACCGCCGCTTCTGACATGCTGTCTGAACACAGCTTCATCCCCGAGCCCAAGAGCAGTTGCTACAACACCCATGAGAAGAGAATCTACCAGTCCAATATGCTGAATAGGTGAGTGTGGACAGAGGGCACATGGCAGTGGAGATGAGAGGAGAGCTTCGGAGACTGGGGTTGGAGGCTCAGAAGCTGTGGCAGGAGCAGTTCAAGACAGCAGCAGGGTGAAGGCTGCCCTCTGGGGTGGCAGTGGGGCGTGATGGCAGGAGCATTTCAGATCCAAACCTTGCTGTGCTGTGTTCTCATTCTAAGAAAAACAAAACAACTCTCACTTATTGAGCACTTACTACGTGCTAGACGTTACTTTAAGTATTTTGCATTTTAACTTCATTTAGTCCTCAAAACAACTCTATTAGGTGGGTTTTTAAATTGTGTCCATTTTACAATACAAGAGAATAAGGCTTGTAGGTGTAAATTGCCCAGAGTCATGCTGC